TTTTTGTAGCATATTTGTGTTAAACTTTTTTAGGAGATTGGGGTCTTCATTTTAATTACATTTTATTATGCATATGTTATTTTAATCGAGTAGGTACATTTTATTCAATTTCTTTATCAAATATGTGTATAGTATAATTAGTATTGTGTCATTTCCCACTTTCATTTTTTGGGGAACAAAAATAAGATATAATCACGGAGATTATGCGACTGAATTGCTTGAAATCATTCAACCGTCCTTCTTTTCTATCATCAGGGGACTAGACGTAGACTAAGGTTCCGCCCCTATGTTCTGGATACAACCAAGATTGGCACCTAGCATTACACTTTCGCCTGCAGATTTGTTCCCTGAGCGCTATAACTTGGGTATTTTCAAGGAGAGAGTGAATAAGCACTTTCTAGGCAAGCGTTCTCCACACACGACTACATCGGTACTTACCACCCGGTGAGATTGTGGTTACATGTGTGCCTATTACTCTTAAAAAAGTAGTAACAAATATTAACATCATAATAACATCACATAAAGTGTTTCTATAAATGTTAGAAAAAAATGTACATTATATGTTTTAAAACAAAACATTATACTGTACGTTCATTTACATTCAAGAGACATTATGTCTGTAGTACGGCAGCGCAGTGTTGCTATGTATTCCTAACACGTCCTCGAACTAGAACTATGTGGTTAAACAAAACTATACAGAAGCCATGTAACTTATTAAGCTGTTTAAACTTTCTCTTTAAAACATTGATGCTCAATTGACATGTGTCCATTAAGTTTAATGTGCATTAAGTCATATTCAGTCTCAAATTTGTTATTTATATAATATATATTATCAAATTCAAACTTCAGACCGAATATTTGTGAAACTCATAGTTGATACACATTCAATTTAGAGAAAGTTTCTGCAACTAGCTTTTAAAAATGTCAGAATATGTTGCTTTTACACATCGCACGCTCACTATAGTAGTATAGTGACATAATTTAAAAAGTAATTTTTTAGGAAAGACACAAAAAGTAATAAAAAAACGACGTAGGTAGATACGTGGCACCACTTATACCGACGGTCCCACCGAATTAACGTGTAATTATCAAAGCACTAACAATACAGTAAAAAATAAAAAAAGCAAAAACTTCAATTACTCTGCACCCAATGTATTTATTTGGACAAATGTAGAATGGAAATAAATTAACCCGTGTATTACTGTGCATGTGTCTAATCGTGCGTAACTTATTATTATATTTCCATACTAAAAGAAAACATTGCAGTTACATTAAAATAATATTCCTTTTCTCATTTTTGGCGTGAAAAAACTTTAGGTAGGTTTATTATGAGATAATACAACGTAGCCTGATAAAGAAATGTGTAAAACTTTGGAACGAAATTATATTGGACATGAAAAACGGTACGTTAGTTTTATGTTTACACATACATACATAAAAACAAGCAAAATCAAATAACAAACTCCGAACGCAAACAAAATTGTAAAGTGTATAATCCCGGTAGGAAACTGTGGGTATCATAAACTTTTAATTACCTCGGATTAGTGGCGAAATTTGTCATTCGTGTGAAAACATTGATTAAAATTGTATTTAAATTGTATTTGGATCTCGTGTGCAATTCACGCTCTTTATTTTTTTTTACGCTGCGAAATGCATTTACGCCCCTAGATTAAAGCCTAGTTATAAACAACTTATACCTCAAAATAACTAGCTTAACAAAGTCATCGTCGCCGGCCGCACATCGTAAATTTAGCGCGAATCAAAGTTACAACTTCACTCACGGTTTAATAAACCAGTCGTCTTGCTTTTAACATAACCAACACGTGTTTTAAATTAGTATAATTTATTCTACGACCCCCCTTGATCTTTCTTGTAAACGTTGTCAGGTCACAAATCACCTGAAATTTCTATTTGTGTACTTATATCTGTGTTAGCACTATAAAGGGAATAGTTAAAATAATTTCGCCTTTAAATTAGTATAATATAGCTTTATGAAAGACGTATTCAGAACGTTATTTCCTGTTGGTATGTTTAAGTATAACGGTCCTTGTTAGTGTAGTTCTTTAATAGTTCCTTAAGTTTTTAATTGGTTACGCAATTCCTTGTTCTTGAGACTTCGTTTGTAACAGACAGATTAATTGGTACCAAACTCGAGATTGTAGATAGGTATTGTGTTTGTCTTAGAAAAAATAGTTTGCTTTTTAATTTTTTTGTTGTGAGATGGATGAAGTTTAGTAGCAGTAGAGCTCCCTGTGAAAGAGTTCGTCCAGAGAAGTATTGTATTGCAATTGTTATGAACAGTGACGCTTACCATCAGGCGCACGATCTATTCCTCCTGTCACTTGGTATAATAAAGTAGCAAAATAAATAAAACGTTTTTGTTTCTTAATTTTGAAAACAGAAAGCACAAGGCTTGTTTAGTCAAGTCATTCATTTACACGATGTGATATAATCAACCAAACAATAGAACCCACTGTTTGAGAGTCCGCCAGTTGACCGGCCGTACTAAAATGGTCTCAACAAAGGCAGCGTAGGTACCTGTATGCTCATATGTAGCCAAAGCTGCCTAAATGTTCCACATATTCCATTTTTACAACCAGTAATCAGGTTTACATTTGTATTATCCTGTTTATCGTTGCCATGGTGTCTTTTCCTTATCCGCTCTGAAATTCAATTTGCGGAAATTGTAAAAATGTTACGTTTCATCTTTGCGTGCGTTGCGATAATAGTTTTATAAAAGGTATTTTAAAAGAAGGATTGAAAAGAGGTTTCAGACGATTCGAAAATATTCTTTTTACGTATTTTTTTTCGTTCTTTCTTGGAAATATAGCGAGATATTCGAAATGGATTAGCAAATATTCTTTTCCTGACAGGAGAAGATAGAGTGAAAGTGCTGTAGAGATCAGAGATCGCAATTTGGTGTCATCATCGTGTTGCCTGTTGGCCATATAAAAATGCCTATTTTTATTTTTCGCGACTAAATGACAAAATAAAGAATAAGAATACATTTTAGAATAAGAATACATTTATTGCATAACTATAGGTAAAAATATTACATTGGTTTGTGCTCTATAGTCTACCAGTTAAGGTGTAGAATTTTTATATATAAAATTTTGAGATGTCATTTAAAACCGTAACCCAGTTTTAGAATATTGATATTGTTTAATGATATTTCAGCTTTGCATCGTTAGGGTAAGGTCCGATAAGTTGAACATGTTAACTAATTTTAACTGTTTTTTAAAGAGAATTTTGTGCTTTATGTTTTTCTTATTAAAACGTATATTTGACCATTTGTCACTTAGCCGCTTTTTAGTTAGTGGACAGCAGAGATATATTTGCCTTGTCTATTACATACTAACTAATTTAGTTTTATACTTAATCATGTTAAACTAACGTATTAAGTTCTAAATTCAATGCCATAATATGAAGGTTATGTAATTAATTTACTCGGCTAATAAAGTCATTGAATAAACATTTCTAGCCTCGTCTAAGTTATTAACTAACACTAGCCTAGCTGCATCTATTAAATTGTTAATCTCAAGTTGCTGTGTTCACTATCAATGTACACCCGTGGCAATATTGCACAATCACGCTCTAACTTTCAAAATTGATTGATCGGATAGCGGTACAGGACCATGGCAAGAATTAATGAGGCTATTATTCTTCCTGTTGTTTTTTATTAAAACAAACCGACCGGAAAATTTTGTGAATACAAAGTATTTTTGCAAAATCTGGCTTGAATTCCTAATTTAAAATACCTACTATCGTGGACTACATATTACTATTGATTTCATGCTCGAAGCAAAGATGTGTAATAAAAGGATATATCAGTTATTTCGATAAGTGATCAAATGCTTGTTGTCATAATAGGTATTATTAGAAAATCTGCGATTCATTGATTATCATTATCACAAATGTGATTTTTGTGTCCGTGCGAGTTGTACAGCCATTGGTAGGTAATATGCTTTGTTACCTACTAACGCATGCTTATGTATGTAGGTGCGTGCGAGTGTGCAGTATGTTCGTGTAAGTGTATATTAAGATGATCAAATTCTAGTCCATGCTACCTTAAAACTGCAGCCTGGCCGATGTTTTGAAGCATTCAATAAAGAAACCACGGTAGATTTAAACTCCTTGTAAAGGTTGTTGAAATTGGAAATGAAACAATTTTTTCGGATCCAAAACGCATACCTCCTTTTTTTCAAATAAACTAACTGTGTGTGCGTTATTATGTGCTTCGGTATCTTTACTGGTCAGTCTGCCGTGACCATGGCATCTGGGGCCCTACTCTCGAAGCATCCGTAGTTACGGCCGTTTTCCCCACTATGGATGACTTCACGAAGTCCGTCAACGATTACACGGGCCCGTTTTAACTGTCAAACAGCCCCGTTCATAACTCAAATAATTCGCGTTGTTGTACATTGTTAGTTCTAGCCCTGATTGAAACTCAAGTCATTCATAGTGCGAAAACGGCCATAATTGCGGATTTCTTGCTTTGAGAATAATCTCCTCTTTACCAGAGCCTTGAAAGTATTCAAAAAACAAATACTATTTACATCCGGAGAAATGGTTTCATGTCCAACGTATATATACGTACGTATGCCAATCGCCTTAACTTAAGAATATTCAACATCGAATATCACGCGTTGCTCATCCTCATTCTTTTTAACTGCCTCCGTGGCCGAACGATTACCATGCCGGACTGCCACGCACAGATCCCAGGTTCGATTCCCGGGCCGGGAGAAATATTTGTATGGCCTACATTTATTTCTCTCTTGAGTTTGGGTGTGATTTGTGGTTGTCTATGTGTGTCTCCATGGCACCCGCGACACATGGTTTCCCTAGTGCGGAGCTATGTTTAGTGTGTGCGTTATTATTATTTTTATTATCATCATCATTCTGCCAAGACATCTGACCTCAAATCTGTTTTTTCCCACAAAGCTAAAATGTAACATAAAAATTAACCATAACCCTCCATTGTTCCAGGTTATGTGTGCGTATCGTTAGATAAGCACTGCTGTGATAGAATCGTGGATCCAACAGTGTGGAATGGTTCCGGTGTGTTGGCGGTTTATTGATGTAAGTCTAAGCCTTTTTTTCACAACTGTTACTAAGTGCTCATAAAATCTATAAAAAAATAGTAGCAATCTCAGTTGTCAATGACAAATCAATAAATAATATTAGTAGCTCGGTTACTATACATTGTACTACAAAATAATCAGACAAGATGTTGAAGTAACTAAGCACTTTTATCTTGGTGTCCTTCACAATTTGACAGAAAGATAAAGTATTTATTTGGTTTAATTTTCTTGTAAGAAATATGAATTAAGACTTAACTACTAACCATTAAGATACAAAATATTCTAGACTGCATATCCTCGCCTTAGAGTGAAAACCTCGCATACATACGCGTGTTCACATTTCTCGTTTTTACTGATTTTTGTTGTAGAAAAAGATAAAAACTTTGCTCTTCTTCTTCTTCTTCTTCTTATTATTAAAGTAATATAGTATCTGGAAGAGGTATAATTTAACAAATTAATATGCTAACTACAAATGTTATTGCGTTTACTACATTTTACACCACATTTTTACTTTCGACCTGAAAAATTACATAGAAATCACATACAAGGTATTCACTTTAAGACGACGATATTGCGGGTTGGGCAGGCATAACAAACCGACACTGGTATTCTGCGACGATCAATGAAGAGAGTGGAAATCAATAATATAAAACATCTAACACAAATATCAATTATCCTGTACTAAATAAGTTTTTCTTGGATATAAATAATTATTTAACTGAAACTACAATTTCCAGCAGTTTATTCCACGCCTCTACCACATTGTTGCTCGATAAGTAAACACTCTGCCACGTCATGATGATGAATTCACTGCAGTAATTAACTAATTGAATAATTTGCCTCTTTTGATCTAGCATAAAAAACTGCTTATTCGTATTTTCGTAATGGAAATATAGATTTCAAAAGGCGAAGTATGCATTCGACATAATATATAAATAGGTTAGAAATTCACATAGAATGTCATAATTTCTCTCAGAGCGATTTCATCACACAATCGTATACAAGACATCGGACCATGCTGCTAATTGTCCCATAGTTTCCGAAGGATCAGTTTCAACAATAGCTCGCAACTTGTTATTATTCACTTTAACCCGTTCACGGGCAGTAATGGCGTATACCGTAAAGTTAAACATCAGAAATTTTTTTTATTATATCAAGTGACGGGACGAACAAGTCGTGCGCCTGACGGTAAGTTACACGCCTGTCCATAACAGTATCAGTGCCATTCAGATATTTAAATCACAACGATCTGAGGTGCACTGGCACTGCGCCCATCACCCTGAGACATAATAAGTTGACAAGTTCCATGTGCCTATAATTTCACCAGTACCATTACCCTTCAAAACCGAAACATGCTTTTGATCCTGTACAAATAGGCAAATGCGATTATTTACTGTAACCAACGCCTTGGGTTAAGACGTGAAAATTATCAACTGAAATGTTAGCACTATAGTCTAATGCTTGTTTTCGGGTATAACTACTACGAACACATAGACAAACAGTATATATCTCACGTGAAATTATAAGCACATGGGACGTCATGTGCTTGTAATTTACCACCCTTACCCTTCGAAGCCGGACACAGTAGTGCGGACATTACTGCTTGGCGGCAGAAATAGGTAAGGTTTCAGTATTTCCCTGGACGAACTCTTTTACAAGGAGCTATACTGCTACAAAAAGATAGCACAGAGTACCCAGATTCCTCTATATGGGTCTCCAAAAACCAACAACATACTTTAGAGTGCTATTTCCAAGTGCTTTTAGTGTAGTTGCCGCCTATTGCTTCTCCATCGAGAAATATCAACAATTTATTGACAAAATTTAATGATTTTTCCTTGGGAATTTTATATTGATAAGCACTGCGGCACAAACAATAATTGTGACATTTTTGTGTGCGGTACTTTTTAAGTACTGTCCATGAACGGGTTAAGTTCTGATCAATCACTAGGCTCATTTATCGGGTAAAAATTTCCACTGCGTGGTCAGGTAAATTAGATACGCAGTGCGTTCGATAGTTGGACTCATTCCGTACACGTCGGTAATGTTGCCAAATTTTTACACTGCACTAGTGTCACACCGGAACTCACACTCAAAAATTTCATCAATTATAGCAGTGTCCATGTTACATTTTATAGCACGCAAAATTAACCATATTAATTTTCCAAAAATTTCAAATTCACAAACATTAAGATTTTATTTCGAAATAATTTTGTAATCTGAATCTAAACACTAAATGACTTAATAAAATACTTTATTTTATTTGAAACCCCCCGAACTTCATTAATACAGTCGTGATTAATAATGGTCTTCCAATAATTAATTCTTGATGAATCGTCGGATTTCGCAATTCTAACTTATTAACCTTAAACGTACTTCGTGCCATACTGTCTCCTATAAATGCTTAATCAATTCAAAAATCTTGATTTCATAGGTAAGCAAATTACGCTTGAAATTGTCATATTGATTAAATTCTACTGCTCATTCGTAAGGCATATTCCTCTGAGAAGAATGAGCAAGAAACTTTGGGGATTGCTCTTTGTAAATAAACGTTTGTACCCATTTATCATTTAGAGTATATATTTGTGGTTAATGTATTTCTCATGAAGATTATTCAAACATAGATCTCCACTATTTGCTAGAATTAAACGGGTCGCTACAACGGATTTGTCTTCCAATTACGCAGAAGCTGTATTTGTAACCTTTAGTATAAAAATCGATTTTTTTTCTACCTTCTAGTATGTACAGTCAAGAGGACATCAAGCATGATATTGTGTACTTTGGGCCGTTTTTATCGTAAACGGCACAGGTTTGAATTTAAATCTTGAGCAACTGACCCTCTAGAACAATTGCTAATTTACTGTTAAAACTTAGGGCAGCGAATTGGCCTCTTCCAGACGACATAACGGTGATTCCTTGAGCTTTCTCCACTCATTTCTGTCTTTTACAATTCGTTAATCAAATTTAATAATCTGTCTTTCGGCACATACAACTGACCCAACTAGTAAATAAAATTACCATCAAACATTCATCAAGCAAGACCCTTTCAAATGCTCACCCTAACTATGGCTAATTTTCTGGTAAAAAATTATGTAATAAAGGATATCCTTCCCCGGATATTGACAGTAATTGACCTTACCATGTTTGTAATCTGTATTCACATGGCGACGCGTGTCTACCCGTGTTTGCGTTTTACACCTACCTGTCTTTGAATCTCAAGTACAAGATTGCTGTCGAGTTAAACTTCCATTGATAAATGTTTAACGATGCTCATGATATGTTTTTATTTGTTGGAGAAAGTAACGCTTTGGTTACAAAGACGAGAAACTTCAGTCTACCATCTGTAAAACGTTAATATTCACCGTAAAGAGATTCCCAGTTATAAACGCGTCAAACGCGACGAAGCAGCGAGTTGAAGATAAGTTTAATGAGTCATTACAATGCATTACACTATCAAAATAAAACCAGATTCAGCATGATTTTACTGAACCAGTTAAATTTAATGAACGTTTGTGCAATTTTATGTTTATGTCTTCTAAAAGTTTGTGCCAGAAAAAGTATACCTATGTTTTCTATTGTTATGTTAACTGAGTTTTTTTTTGTCACTCTTCAAATTTTAACAACTTAAGTTTGTCTGTAAGAAAGCAGGGAAAAATGAAAACGTATGGTTGTTAATCGTACACCAGACGAACTTACGGCTTCTTGCGAGAAAACAAAAAACGAAACTCGGATACAAAACTAACGGGAATGTTTGATAAGTTTCTCAGGAACGGGATCGTAAAGCTTCGCTAACATTGTAGGCGGGTAGACAACTCATGTACGTATTGCCTATTTTTGATACATGCTGACGCAATAATATATTTCGAATTATTTAGAAGTAAGGATTTCCAGTATTACCATACGCTTGAGCCATTCATTTCCGGCCCGTGCATTAGGTTAAAAATTGACACGGAGATGCCTCCGTGATCAATGACGAGAACAACTTTTAAAGTGGTCTACTCAGCAGGTAGTTCCTGTGGTTAGCCCTAGCTCATTATCCCTTAAAGTTGTTGGTCAAATTAGTCCAACATACATTTCGCTGTCATTTGAACCGGTAATTAGACGCCCAACACTTGATAGCAAAAGAATTCCAAACCCGATGCCAGTCCTTTACCAGACTTGACATTCTTGACGTATTAAGATAGTCGTCTTTAAAAGTTCCGAAGCTAATGAAGTGACGAGATATCGAATGACAACGCTGTCATTTTGTATTTCACTGGGACTTTCTACAGTTTATTTTTCATTAGACACGAATGTCGCGGTTGCTTTCGGTAAGTAGGACAAACGTGTTCGCGGTTTGTCTTTGTTTTTCTTTGTTTATGTCACACTTGTCAATAGCAAGGATTGTTTTTGCTCTTATTTCAATCCAAAACTGATGTTATGATCAGACTGACTATCCAATAAATACGAGACGTTATTTTGCACTACCCTAAAGTGTATTTAGTAGAGATGCAACGAATAGTGATTTGGCCGAATACCGAATACCGAATATTCGGCGGCGCTTTCAGCCGAATACCGAATATTCGGCCGCCGAATATTCGGCGGGTGATCCAGTATAATTGACGTCGACGCTAACAAGTTAGGACACGTTTTGATGCGGTACGTGTTAGTGTTTACAGTGAGAGACTATTCTCAGAAGCAGGTATTGTATATGAAGAAAAGCGCAATCGTCTCTTACCAACAAATGCCGAAAAACTTGTCTTTATTCACCACAATTTGCCTTTAATTAATTTTAAATATTAAAAATACTGATGTATTCTTGTTTTCGCAATTAATGATTGTTGGATAATTAAATGTTTCGATTAAATTGTTTTTTTTTATTCCCTTTTATAAGATATTTGCTACTTTTTAAGTATTCGGTATTCGGCCGAATACTACTTACTATTCGGCCGAATACCGAATACTGAAAAAACTGGCCGAATAGGCCGAATACCGAATAGTTGCCGAATATTCGTTGCATCT